TTCTTGCCTTCATTTTACATTGTAAGATTGTGTAAACAGGAAAGCCAGCTCCATAATGTAAAATTTCATGTGTCAATGATGTGATGTGTAGAGGAAATTCCATCACTCTAGGAAACAGAACACCTACATTTATGTCCCTAACTCTGTCCTGTTGTTTGTGTAACTGTAAACTGTTTCCTGTGTTCTCCCTATAAAATAGCAATAACATCCATTCTATCTAACTCATATGGAATCGTGCATGTAAAGGTTCTTTATAAATTATAAAGCACTTCTCAAAGGGTTATTAACAATCCAAATCCAGAGTTTAAAAATATGACCACACAGAACCACAGGACATTAAATAACTTCTTTCTTCACTGTGAAATATAAAATGGAATAGAATAAATAAATGGAATTTAATTCTAGCCTATGTTCAAGGCTTTTCTGTGGCACACATGCCATGAGCTGTCTCTCTTTTATGGTCTATGGGGCCTTCTATTTCCTTTGTAATGATCCGTAGCATCTAATAGAAATGTTCCATCTAGAAAGATGCTCTGTGAATGCAATTACTCCGTCAAATCTATACGTAGCTCAGAATGTTTTCCTTCTTTCCTGGCTATCCAGAGTGATGCTGACTAGGGATTCTCGCCCAGGATGCAAGGGTGGGGTATGTTGGAGGCTATCTCCTCTCAACTGATGTCCTGGCCGGTGATGAATAGTGGACCATGCAGTCCTCTGAGCAAGACCCTCAGAATATTACTGGAAAAACCATGGGAAAATGGTGGGCAGAAGACCAGACATTTAGAGAAAAGTCGAAGAGCCTTAGAAGAGTCTAGATGTTGGCAAAAGCTGAGTTTGGGTGGGAGAGTGATTTTGAGTGGAGGGCTAGCTCTACCTGACAGAATATAGCAAAGAGCCTGGCACAAGGGGTTTGTGAAAAGAGGCTGGCGAAAAGGAGATTGATAAGCATAAGAGTGAGTCAAGTTAGAACACTTGCGACAGAATGAAACGGCCTTAAAATGGAAAACTATAATAATATTTCTTGAACTTTTGAAATCAAGTTGTTAGAATTACGAGGATGTTAAAGATCAGTTTAAAACACACTTTTAATTTTGCGTGTGTGTGTGTGTGTGCGCGCGCGCGTGTATGTAAAGAAGTTAGAAGAATTGTCTGGATTACATCACATGGCAAATTAAGGAAGAAATTGATGGGAGGAGAAACCAGGAATGTTAAGTCTTCTCGGTCTAGGATTTAGTTCCCCGCTAAACTAAGTTTCTTCCCTAGAGTTGGTAAGATCCCTAATTCTGTTCGAGGTTAATGCAATCCACAACTTCTCAATGAATCAATTTCTCATAAAGGTGACCTGCCCAAGGTTGAGCTGGAGAAGTCCCGGTGCCCTCAGTAGCAGGTGGAAGTGGTCGAGGAGGCAAGCAGTGTAGGATTTTCACTGGCAGGCCTGTACTTGATGACAACAGTTCCTAACAATTAACTGATAAGGAACTGGAATTCAGGGTGGAGTGAAATAGAGTGCCTCAATTCTCTTTCTCAGACTGCCCTTTATTAGAAAAGCCCCCTTTCTTAGTAGCCCCATCTCTGTAAATCTCTCCCTAAATGGACATCCTCCAGAAAAGCTGTTCCTGCACAATCTTCTTACAAGGCCTTCTGGTTGTCTGTTAAATTACAACAGGTTGCAGCTCATAAACAAGTGCCCACAGTGAAGTGGGGGTAGGTATAAAAATAAACGGAAGGCTTGCTTTAAAGTAGTTCAGGAGTGAACAGAGTTTACAAATACAGAGACACATGGGAAGATGTTTGTGTCAAATTCCCACATCAACAGCTTCTAGTCAGAATGCTTGGTAGCTGAGTGGGTGCAGTAAGGGGAAAAAGGGAGGAAGAAATGAAAGGGGTTAATGTGGTGTTTTGGTGTTTTATTCTGTTTAAACTCAAGAGAGAAAGAGGGAGGGAGGGGGAGAGAGAGAGAGAGAGAGAGAGAGAAAGAGGTGGGGGTATTACAACTCTAAAGAAAACTAAATTGTGATGGTGAATATGTAAAAATATGCACGGGGACAAGGGCTTAAAAGTAATATGCAAACATAAAAATAATTGTGTTGGAGGAGGTAGGATTATGGATGATTTCCTCTCAGACCTTTAATATTGTCCGACATTTTCAATTAAATGTTTTAACTTTTCCAATATTGCGTCCTGGCACGCCAGTTTATCTGATGTTATAAAATCACAATTCCCCCAAATTCTTGTTTGTTGTCCATCCCAGCAGTTCTTAGGACAGCAAAACACTAAACACCATCTATATGTTTTAGAGGACCGATTAAACAGACTGTGGTCCAGTCGTAACAATGGAACACCATCCAGCCATTTAAAAAGGAAAACACAGATCTGAATATGGATACAAAACCACCGCCAAGAAAGAGTAAGCGAATACAGGCAGATGTAGGACAATGAGTCTAGTTTAAATATGTGTACACACACACACACACACACACACACATACCCCTATCCACGGAATATTTTCTGGAAAGCTACCTGAGAACGTTACACACACACACACACACACACACACCCCTATCCACAGAAAATTTTCTGGAAAGCTACCTGAGAACGTCGATGATGGCTACCTCTATCTGCAGAAGAGAATTGAGTGCCTGAGGGTAAAGATTCACTTTTCATGATATAAAGTCCTATATTGTTTGGGGAAAAAAAAGTGTGTGTGTGTATGTGTGTGTGTGTGTGTGTGTGTGTGTGTGTATGTGTGTGTGTGTAATATAATATATGCCTGAGGGTAAAGATTCACTTTTCATGATATAAACTCCTATATTGTTTGGGGGAAAAAAGTGTGTGTGTGTAATATAATATACTAGCATCGCTTTTATAAGTCCTATTAACTTTCTAGGCAACATTCTAAAGGTATTCTTCTTAAGTGGTTCGAAGACAGAGGAACCAAAAGTCCTATTCTTGTCTCCATACTTAGAAAACAGACAATCTGATTATACCTAGAGCTGTCAAAATGTGGAGGCAACGTGTGAAAAAACTAAATATGCTCATCTTCCAGAGGGAGATCTACTGAGATGTATATACATAAGTACAGCCAGAGAACTGGGTCAGCCTCCCACCAGGCCCGCCCCAACAAAGTGGCAAAGAAACGAGCTGTTCACCCTCCTTTCCTTGGAGGGCCCAGGGTGCTCTGCACTTGAGAAGATCCATGGAACCGTCCCAAAGCCCTGGGAGTCATGTTAGTTCCCAAATATTCTGCACAGGGCTTGACCCAAAGCATTCCCAGGTTTCTCGGGGCCCAGGTCAGTATTCCGGAGCCTCGAGGAACCACAGTAAGTGTGCTTGAAAACAGAGGGCTGACCTGGACAGGGAGGTCACCTAAGCATCTTCTAGTCTCCTGTCCCTGGTCCCTCTGCCAGATGGTACTGTGTGCCTTGCCCTTGAATATTCTGACTCCTTTTATACAGGACTTATTGCCTTCATTTTCAAAACTTCTCTTTGCTTTCGCACATTTCAGGCTCTAATGAAAGGATGTTTCACTACAAATTCATGAGAAGGGGTGGCAAATTTGCCATTTTATCCTAGGTATCTCAGCCTGAAGGGTATTCAGAGAGTTACTTAGACCAAGGGGAAACCAAGATGGTGGACAGAGCACAACCTCTCACACAAGACTCGATGCCCAAGGCAAGTGGGCATAACAGCCATCCAGGCCCCAGAGAGGGAAAGTCACTGGCTCTGAGATACGCTGGAGCCAAGAGGCTCATAGTAGGCTTGGAGCTGGGAATGGGCCTCAATGGCAGGAAAGACTGCAGGGCTGGAGATCCGGTGAAGACAGACAAAGCGTGGTCCCATGGCACAGCCAAAGGACAGCCTGACTCAGTGAGCCCATGACTTCTCCCCAAACGTGAGGCCTCAAAGAACTTAAAACTGAAGTATTTTCTTGGCTTAGTTAAAAATCGCTTGTGTTCAACACCTTTCCTCATAATTTCTGATACAGAGAAAGAATGTATGTTCATTATGTTCCTTATTGCTGCTGTGCATAGTAGGCCAGCCAACTCTGGTCTATTCAGAGTTTTTACTCCATTTCTTCATTTGCAAGGGCTGTGAGTGTGTGTGTGTGTGTGTGTGTGTGTGTGTGTGTGTGTGTGTGTGTGTCTTTTCCCCTGACTCTCCCAGATCTTTGTCCCATTTTGCAAATTGCTATAATTTACACCAGTGGCACAGGGCAAGAAAGCAACCTCATTTATAAACCATTCTGGCACACAGTGCTTTTCTTTTTGAAACCGGTAACTAAGATAATATCTATGGATTTGATTAGCTGTGCTTTGCCTCCATGTAAACCCAAACTGGTTATGTTTCTGGGAAGTTAAATTTCTTCTCTGCCTTCTCTCTGCTTAAGTGACCTCGATTTTTTTAACCAGCAGGCCCCTTTACTGACTAATCTGGAGCGGGGCACGGGTGTGAACTTTAGTTGGGGAGAATTTTCAGTCTTCTGCCCACTGTCTAACTCTTCCTCCAAAGATGGATGCGCTAAGCTTTGCCTTAAATACAAATAGTTTTGCTGTCATCATGGACCCTTTTTACAGGATTTATTTTTTAGTGTTCCATTATCTCAAAGGCTATTTTCTCCAGGTTTTTCATAACGTTCTCGAAATCTGAAACTCCAGACTGGAATGCAGAATCTAGCCCAGACTGTTGCACAGCGTGGTGTAGGATCACCTCCCTCCTAGTTCCTATGGGGGCCTTCTTTCCTCTGTAGATATTGGCATTCCAGCTGCTGTCCACGCATAGGCTGTCCTCACCAGCCTGCAGAGCAGCTGCTGACTCATGCTTACTTTGGGATCTGCTAGGACCCCAGCTCTTCTTCTGGCCTTCGGCCGGGATGGCCACCACCCATCTCACAGAGAACTCTACCCATCACCTTTTGGGGGCTCAGTTCTGACCCAACGCGAAGTCTCCCACAAGTTCGCACTGTTTCACCTGGCCCCGCCCCTGCCCCTGCCCCGGCCCACCTGGAAGACGTCGTTGGCACACTTGCGGCACAGGTTGTGCTGGCAAGGCAGGATCACCACCGGTTTGGAGAACATCTCCAGGCAGATGGGGCAGATGAGCTGCTTCTCCAGGTTGTCCATGCTGTGTGCATCCCCTAGCAGCGGCTTGAAACCCACTGTGAAGTTCATCCCCTCAGCAATCGTGCCTTCCCTGGCCTTGGCCCTTGTCCTGGCCTTCCCGCACTGCCTCTGACCCTTCCTCGTTTACTTTAGATAGTCCGTGGATTCTTATGTTCCCTTTTGTCGCTCACTCTTGAAATAGCTCTGCTATCTCTCCTGTCCCTTCCTCTGACAATTCACCTCGTCCTGAGATAGCTGTTTTCAGACACGTCTTGTCTCTCTTTCCTTTGCTCTGTACACCGGCCAGGCACAAGCAGCTTTCTCTGTCCCTCACTCCCTGAGTGACTCTGTCCCTGGAAATTTCTCCTTTTGTTCCCCAAACAACTCGTATTCACTCGATGGGCAGCACTGTTTGTCCCTCACTCCCCAGAGAGGAGATTAATTTTAACGTGGGGGTGGGGAACAAGGGGCATCTGTATGACATTCCAACTCCCGATTTAGCTCATGTAAGGCGAGCCACAGCTGTCACTGAGTGAGTGAGTGACCCTGACTCACTCAGGAATGGGTGACTCTCTTGAGCAAGGACAAGGGTGAACTTCAATGCTTCTGGCGAAAGGCGGGCCAGCAAAGGTATGGGGCGCTCACTTGCTCTCACTTAGAAGGCTCCTGTGAGCCCCTGGCCCCCGGGCTCTGGCTTGGGCCCTTCTTCCAGGGCAGTGACACAGAGCACAAATTGTCTTGCATGTGAGGCACCATCCATGGCTCAGGGAAGGAGGACGGATTTAGCCAGAACTACAGACAGTCATTGAAAATTTTTGCCTCCAAGGCTTCGCCAGCGACCCTGGTCTTCTTCCTCCGAACCCCGTGATTCAGAACAGGGGCACCAGCGACCTGAGAAGCTTTGGTCCAGCACTTCTGGGCCACTTTTGTTCTCACCCAACTTTCTTGTATCACCCAAGGAGAAGCAGCTCAGGGGGCTAGAGCTGGCAGTGGTGCCAGGGCCAGGAATGACCGCATGAGCATGCCCCCGAGAAAGTGTGGGATTCTGGTCCACGAATATATCACTGGAGCCACTCCAAGGACTTTAGATTTGTTAGGAAATGGAGAGAAGCTGAGCTGGGCAGAAAGGACCTGAATGCCAGGGACCTATTTTGAGCACCAGGGGAATTGGTCTCCAGGGAAATTTTAGAGCACTGACAAAGACATAATCACAAGGCTCCAGGAAGCCTGTGTCCCAACGCCACGATTGTCCTGAACTCCCACTCTGCAAGGCGGCCTGGTCTCAGAAGCAAGCATCGGTTTTTCTCCTAGGCCTTTTTCTGTATCCCAGGCATAATTTTTCTTTTTTTGAGCCCCACATATGCACTGAGACTGGACAAAAGCTCTTTTATTTACTGACATTCCTTAGCCCTTCTCCCAGTCAGGAGAGGGAAGTGTGAGGAGTTACTAGGCTCTGACCCTGGGTGGACAGGAAATAAATGGTGTGGAGAGGATACCAAAAAAGCAGTGTGAAGGGGCATGAGTGGGGAAAGGGTCCGCAAAAGTACAATCTTTTCCCTATCGTATGTTTCGTGCCCCTGTTTTTAAAACAAGATATATAGTGACCAGCCTGCCTAAGATGTGGTAAAAGGATGGAGGCAAACAGGCATCGATGTGTGAAATTCAGTCAACCCACAGGACCCATGCTAATGGGTACTACGCTGGTATTTGCAGTCTAGGGAGAACCCAAAGGTGGGAGGACGACCCCTAAGCCTCAAATGCATCCATACTTTTCCTGAGTTGACTGGTGGTGACACGGAATGAGGCTGGCAATGCCAAGTGTACGGGCACCAGAAGAAGATGAGACCAGCCCAGGAAGGTATACCGGCTTAGAAATGAGGCCGATGCTAAGAGCTCCTGGTACAGAGTAGCAATAAAGGAGGGTTAGCTGGTCCCACAGCTCTTGAACAGGTTCAACCTTGCTCAGTTATTAGGCTCTTGGTGGAGAAAGCACAAGTGACTCAGGGACCCTACCCAGGTGACATTGGTTCAAATCCCAAGAAAGGCATAGGAAAAAGGATGCTTGAGGAAAGTCTGTCTCCACTGCCTAAGACCTCTTAAGGGTAGGGATGAAAGGTCTGTTTTCTAACAGATTAAAATTGTGACTGGAGTTAAAAAGAAGAGTAGCTGGTTAACCCTCTATCACCGGGGTCAATGACACCATCAAGGGCAGAGACGACACCCTCACTGAGATGGTCGCCATCAATACTTCTGAAACTGGGATTCTTACAAGAAGAAGGGCAAATCAGGGTCAATGCCAGGATGGGGCTACTTGCTTCTCTCTTCAACACGTCCAGTGGACTGGGCAGCAGAAAGCACCTTTACTGAGTTAGCACCTTGGGGCAAAAGAAGTTGGCATCTTATTAGAAGAACTGAGTACCCAGAATGTAAAGCAAACCCCCTATAGATAAGAATATAAACACCTGTTGTCCATACTATAAGGATATAAACTTTCCACTAATGACTTATCTGAAGTCAGTATATTTTCTTTTCTTATCCTTTAATTATTGCTACATTTATTTTCATACCTCACTCTCTTAATATTTTAATGATCATCTTCACTATGATTATCTTCTTCCACAAAATGTTCTTTATTTCCTATGATGGAATTTGAAAAACATATATATAAATGTGTAGTAACAATTTTTTAGCCTATTGGTGAGAAAACCATGACCTTGCAGTTACACATTAGCATCACTAGGTGGCACTGCTGTGAACTGCAGTCAATTCCCTCTTTAGTTGGAGTGGGGATAATCTCAGACACTTCATCTTCCTTTTGAGTAAATGCAATGGGCTGCATCATCTAACTTGTCTTCAAATATTGCCTTTTCTAGGTACACTCCCCCACCCATTCTATGCCTTAAATCTCACCCCATTCCTTAGCTTATCGGTCATGAGAGGCCAACATTACATTCAAACTGTTGGTTTGTGGCATAAGCTCCTTAGACACTGAGTAGCTCCTCTTTCTTCACTTTGTCGCAATACTGACTTGAGACTCTCATATTTAGGGGTTCCAAGTTTCATCCCTAACCATTTCTTTCTTTGTTAATCTAGCTCTTACCTCAGTCCCTGTCTGTGGTTCTCACCTGACCTTGAAGGCTGAGTCTGGACATTCTGCTGGTATTTTCTCCTTACTACCTCCTCAGATGGTGGCTTAAGGGTTCCACAGCAAAAGCAGCAGCAGCAGCAGCAGCAGCAACAGGTGAGCAGAGCACACAGGACGACGAGTGTCTAAAAGGTAGGAAAGAACAGACTCAATCCTGCAGTTCTTACATGTTCCTGTTCAAGCTCCCCTCCCTCAATCCCAGCACCCAAAAAAGTGAGACAACAGAAGCATTTGTCCTAAGAGAGGAGGGTAAGGTGTCTTAGATGCGGAGGGTCAACCCTCCTTCCTTATTCTTAAGAGACTAGGAAGAACTGTGTACCTTGAACCAACAACTATTCATCATAAAATAGTATCTGACGCCTTCTTCGCCAAAGTGATCATATATATATATTCCCAATGAGCCATGCTGGTTGTAGATTTTCCGCTTCTTAGGGTCACTCAGTATGGAGTGGGCTGTGTTGATCTCTTTGAATATTTCTGCTGCTTGAGCGTCCCCTGGATTCTTGTCTGGATGATACTTCAAGGCCAGTTTCCTACCCAGGCAATACCCAAAAGGAGGGTGGGGAGAGAATGGGGAGTGGCTAGGGAGGGAGAGTTAAGATGAATGACAGGAATAGGTCTCTAGATAGCGAAGAAGGAATGCATAAGATGTGGTAAAAAGAATGGAGGCAAGTAGCCCAAATCTAAATTCCTTCCCATGCCACAGTGAAGAGGACGATTGCCCCATCTGGCCCTAAAGTGAAGGCTTGAGGATTTAAAAATGGGCCAGAAAGCAAGACAGAAAGAAAAGAGTTTAAGGGGGTGGGCTTCAGGGTTTAATACGGGGCTGAAGTCTGAACCTGTAGGACTTTTTGATGTCTTCAGGTGAGGCATCCTTCTTAAGCTCCAGCACTGTATAGAGGGTTGTCCCACTTTTGGACAACCGGCGGGCTGCTTCGTCCACATGAGACATGATCTGGGTCAGAGGAGAAGCAGCATTTGTGAGAACTTCCACACGTGAGGCCATAAAGAAGTGAACCTCCAGTAACAAGAAACTCATTGCCTTCAGGGGGTAGGCTGGTAAATGACTACAAAAAGGACAGGTATAAGACAGTGAGTGGGATCTGTGACTGGCAGAAGAGATCCGGTAACCAGAAAAGACATTCAAATTCAAATTTTAGGGAGGAAATATCTCACACTTTCCAATGTCCTTGAGCTATGCAGACCTTGGGACACCCCACATACTAGAGAGACATAAGCAAGGGGAGGTCTCAACATGGGAAGAGATTGATTTTGTCCAGAACTACTAGCCCCTTAAGTAAACAGCCCTGGTCTCGTCCAAACTCATTGTTGGGATTGAGAGACCAGTGCGGGCCCCAGCCCACTGGTTGGGGTCAGGAATCGCTGAGATAATCAATTCTCAAGGGAGAAACAATTCGGACCTAACCCTGGGCTGCCTAAGATAAATCAGGTGTCCAAAAGCCAGGCCAGAAAAAAGTGCTTGCAGCTAGGCCTGAGACTTTGTTCTTCTCCTGGCCTCCTCTCTCAACCCATCCCACCCCCTGCTCTTCAGAGATAGGGCAGTAGGGTTAACAGAAGGATGAAGAAGGAAGCAAAAAGGGGGTATCTGTGGGGACCAACCAGCAGGGCAACAGGGAGCAAGACCCCAGAGAGCAGGGAGAGCTTGGGAGGCTATGGCGCACTAGAACCAAGGCAACAAGTTCAGTAGCGAATGCTCTGGCTCCCCAGGTCCCTCCTGGCTATGAAGACTCCCTACCCGCGCTGCGGATCTACCTTGGAGTCCCTCTCTTCAGCACATAGGCCTTACACGACCTCCATCAGGGTGTAAAACTTCACACAGCCGGGGTCCTGTGGCCCACTGCGCTTGCGCACTGCGTCAACACTCCGAGTCGTTTATTGGCGCCGCTGGAAGTTCTGGGAGGTAAAGCTACGTGGGCCCTGGGACTTATTTTGCACGCCGGAAGCCTGAGCGTAGGGATCTGCCGAGCGACAGCAGGCCAGGGCATCCTGGCATCTTTTCCAGCCTTTTTGCGGGTACAGCCTCCGTCAGAATCCCTGCTACTCCAGCGGAAGGCGATCACCTATTCTGGTCACTGTCCTAGCTCATCGACTCACTTAAGGAAAGATAATGGGCTTGCAAAACTCCTTGTGGCTTTGTGAAAGGTGTGGTTGCTGCACGCCTTTCTCAGGAGGTGTATTACCTTGCCAGTGTTCTTTTTCAGAATTTAGGGATATCTGGTCGGTCTTTTCTTTCCCTTCCGCTTGGAAACTCTTTCACGTCCTTTAAGACCCACCTCAACTGTCAGTATTCCTGGGACTCCTCTGTCATTCCCCATGTTGTTCCCACTTGCTCTGTTAAAGCATTTATCTGATTATATTGTAATTATTAATTTGCACGTTCCTTTGAAACAACATCTTGAACATTTCCAAAAGAATTTTTGTTCTTCAAAATTTTCCTTTAAGTACTTTTCCATCATGAGGATGTACCATAATGTAATTATATATAATCCAGATTGGATAGTGAAGTTGTTGCTAACCATTGATAGTATAGTAACCTTATAATAAAAATTCTTATTTTTAAACCTTTAAATTAATATCCTTTTTTCTCTTCGGGTTAGATTCCTGGAAGTGGAATTATTGGGTCAAAGGAAGTTTTTCAAGCCTCTTGATCCTTATTGCTAACTTTCTTCCCAGAAAGTTACCCAAAGTATCTATTTCCATCCCTTCTGCAGGACGTGAAAGCACCTCCCTCTATCTGGCCTCACTTCCTGTGATATGCTACAGGAGGTAGTGTTTGCACCAGTTAAAATTTACCACTTTCGTGATGGTTTTCTTTAGAGAGGAGCACTCAGTGACCCCTATAACATGTAATTGAAAGAGCTTTATTAATTCAATAATATTTCTGTTACCCCTCTGGTGGCTTTTATCACTCTCTTTTCTTTATTACAGTTATTCGTGCACATTTACCTCCCCTTCTAGGTTTTAAGTGGTAAATCAATACTCCACCCCAGGAGATGTGAGCCATCTGAGCAAACCAACTAAGGAGTCCATATACAGCAGGCACAATGACCACTGAATTAACTAATTTATTTCTATAGTTCTGTGATCAGGGCAGGAGGTAGGGATAAAAACCTTTGGCGTCACCCACCTAGTTCATAGGTTCTGGGTCAGATGAGTTTAGGGGTCAATCACTTAAAGTGAAGGAATGAAAGCTGACGATTTTTTTGGTGGTTTGTATTATGCCAAATTTCTCTAACTAATCTCCAACCTTTCATCACCATCATGGGATGACAGAACTAGCAGAAGTTGTTTCTTCACTAGCACTGTGAAGAGAGAACGCTTTAGAAGCGCAGTGCACTTACAGTGAATTCCTTACCTCCGTCTGCAGGCTCAAGGTGGTGCGGCCCCTGCCTCTCACTCCGTCAGTCGAGTACCACTGTCTTTCTTGCTCTGGTCTCGGCCACACTGTTTCCTATCAGTTCTTTGAAGACACTGTGTTCCTTCACATTTCAAGGGCCTTTGGCCACTCTGCTCCCTCTGCCTGGAAGACTCCTTCCCAGGACTTAACATCCTTTGAGGATCTTAGCTTTGTGCCTGCTCAGAGAAGGCTTCTAAATGGAGTTCCACTTCTTTCTCCCCACCTCATAACGTCCTCATGATAATTCGTGAATATATGTTTATTTGTGGGTTGATTTGTTTAAGGTCTGCCTTCCCCGGCAGACAGGGAACTCCAAAGGGCAGGGACTTTGTCTTTTTGTTCATCATTGTATTTGTAGTACCTAGAACCATGCCCGGTTTACAGTAAGTGAAGTAATGATTTGTTGAATGGGCTACAGCAGAGGGAGCCCTCTGCTGGTCCAATGCAGGCCCAGAGGTTGGGCCTAAGCACGAATTCCCTAAGACATTGGACAAGACTACAGAGCCCATCTTCCCTTATGTGGTCCTAGACAAGAGACATATGGTGTAAACAGGAAGAGGGCAGTGGGAGAGATGGTAATGGTGATTCTGAACTCCTCGTTTCTTGTTTCTCTTAGCCTTCCTCCAGTTCCTGACACAGTTCCTGCAGTATTGTAGGTGCTCAATAAATGTTGGTTGATTGAATGAACCAGCAAACCTTTATATGCCTTTTCAGAAGGACTTTTACTTAATTATCTCCTTTGATCCTCATAACAACCTGAGAGGTGGTATGATCACATCCCTGCTTTATAGAAGTGAACCCTGAGAAAAAGGGCAAATTAGGTGCCGAGAAGAATTAGTAAACATCTTTCACATCTTGCCAAAAGCTCCAGAATATTATTACTTCTTATCATTGCCCTCTGACATTCTAATGAATTCTAATTATAGTTCATGGCTCTTGAAATAGCCATTATCTTTAAGTTTCTGAGCCTCTGCTCTGACTGAAATGACACCGTAGCCAGTGCTGCAGAGATGCAAATAGAGCAGGCAAAAGGACTGGCATCCTTTGGCCAGAGGCGAGTCTCCACTTTGCCTTCACCTAGAAACAGACCCCCTGCGATTCAGTTTCCTATGTACAAGGTCTCTTCTAACACCCAGCACAGAACTAGGAAGAACACACAAGCCAGGAATCAGAAGCCCTAGATCTGAGTTCCCGCTCTGGCTCTAACAAGCTGTGCGATCTGGGACAAGTCACTTAATCTCTGAGTCTCATTCTCCTCTTCTGTAAAAACCTGTGTCATTTCCCAGGGTTGGTGTCAAGACTAAATTAGGTTTGGTTGTAAAAATAATAGAGAAAATAATAACTATGCTGAAGAATGATTACAGACTAAAACCTTTTCTGGAATCATTCGCCCTCCCGCCATACCTTGAGTCAGAGGGATCTTCTAGTTTACTGCCTCACAGAGCCATTTGGTCTCTCCTCAAGAAAACCAAGAAGCGTCCCTTATTTACCCACAAATAACTAAAGTTTTAGTCATATAGCTGGAGTACACACATACAGACAGCAGACATTAGCATATTTATACCCAAAATATCACGCTTTCAAACATATGCAGTAGGAGAGAGAGATCACAATTTGTCATACCCAACCACCAGATTCTAGAATTGTGGAGTTTTCGAGTTGGAAGGGACCTCAGGGACTTAAATTTAAACCATTATTTTCATTTTATAATTGAGGGAAGTGCAGCCCAGAGAGAATGATTGACCTGCTCAAGGTCAACCAGTGAAGTCTAGACCTAAGTCTTCTGACTCCAAGTTCGGTGTCTATACCATGACTGCTTCTCATTCATACCAGCTGTCTTTAAAATCTAGGTTAGAGACAGACCAAAGCTGTAGTTGACATTCATCTCCTTTTATGGGTGATGTTAGGTAATGTCTCTCTTTATCTCTCCCCCTAGTTGAAGGCATATGTACTACATGTGACCAAAAAACACCGTTGGCCTAGTTAATTTGCCTGTCTTCCCCAGGGCAGACATCTTGGGACAAGAGGTAAAGGGCTATCAGCTAAAAAGTTTGCTTTATACCCCTGTCCTCTCTGATCTGCAACCCCAGACTCTGCAGACATAAAGATAAGCTAACAGGGCATACCTACCTCACCTGTGAAATGGAGATAATAGTGTTGTAAAGGATTAAATATTTGTTAGGTAATGTCTCTCTTTATCTCTCCCCCTAGTTGAAGGCATATGTACTACATGTGACCAAAAAACACCGTTGGCCTAGTTAATTTGCCTGTCTTCCCCAGGGCAGACATCTTGGGACAAGAGGTAAAGGGCTATCAGCTAAAAAGTTTGCTTTATACCCCTGTCCTCTCTGATCTGCAACCCCAGACTCTGCAGACATAAAGATAAGCTAACAGGGCATACCTACCTCACCTGTGAAATGGAGATAATAGTGTTGTAAAAAGGATTAAATATTTCATTTGAACAGTGCTTGACACATGGTATATGCTCTATTATTTGTCATCATCATCATATGACCATCATCATCATCATCATC